AACAAACGACTAATAACTAAATATACTTTTTATCTCGATTGTTAAATATAAATATCATCCAAACTATAAACTGCAACAAAAAATCGACTATATTCATTGAAAATTTTACACTGGATTAATGGTTAAATTTTGTCGTTTTTAGAAAAAAATATGTACAGTCATAAAATAATTTTTTAATTAAAATTTAACTACAATCGTTTGTTCGAAATAGCATGAATAAATAACTGATTTACATTATAAAAAAATTAATTAAAAACATTATTTTGGTATTGTAGGTTATCTATAATTTATTTAATCAACAATATTGTTGTTCATTGAACTCGTATTCGAATTTGAAAGTGAAAAGAAATACATTTTTGGTTATGACTTATAAATAACCTTTCATAGTTAAAATATAAAATAGCAGACTTAATATTATATGAGTATTCATATTGTGAATATTTACTTGTTTGGTTCAAACTGGTACTGAGGTCTTCGCATGACTAAAAGTCTTGGCAGTATATGGATGAACACTCTTTTTACCCATGGTGCCATTTTGTGCGTCTGAGGTGATCGAAAATGAACGTTCAATACAACTACTGTAACACATATACTGRAAAAAAAATACATTCTTAAATATTTATTTTAACTTAAACAATATTATTTTTCAGCAAGACAAAAATTCATAGAAAATATCTCTCCATGAAAATATTTTGTTTTTGAACTGATAAAAAAATCATACAAAAGCTCTCCAAAATCAAATCAAAGTCTAACAAAAGTCTGTTTTATATTATGAATTATTGAACATTGGACATTTGTTGGAAATACATTCTGTGTTTAATCTTGATTGTTGATGCTATTCGACAAACAAATAACTTTAATTTATAACAATTCAATAACTTTTGGTTAATTTTACGATATAGACTTTATTATTTATTTATTTATTTTTTTTTTTTAGTGAAATAATTAGGTATTTATAGATAAAGATATTGATTTTTTTGGCATTTAATTTATAGGGGGTACTAAGTACTGTTTAGTGATGAATATAAATTGAAACGTTGATATTTAAATTAATAACACTTTGTGTTATTTTTGGTGTATTTGTTTTTTACATTAAACTAACCAATATCAAAAAAAAAAAAAAAATTCGTTTTGACAAGATAGACGTATATCGTATATACAAATTATACATATTAATATTATTGATTGGAAACAATTTCATAGATAATAATATMATTGATCACCTATATATGAGTAAATAGGAAGCATGATTTTGTAAGGTTGATGAGTTTACTTCTAAATTTATGTGTTTGGTCCATTTGAATGGCTCCTAAATCTTCACATAATGATTTCCAATAATAATTTATTAGGAGGTCAATTAAGTATTTCAGAGGGTATTAAAAACAAATACAAATTACATTATTATACAATATTATTTCAACGGGATTATAAATTTACAGTTCAACCATCAAAATCATCAAATGATGACCTTCAATTGACCTAACCTGTACTTCACATGAATCCACAACGGTAAAATGTCATGTTTATTTATATTATTCTACCATCTGGCATGCCCAATCTGGGGTCCGTGGGAGTATTCCAACCAGCCCGTGACCATATTATAAAAATTAGAAATTTGTATAGGTATAAATAAAAATTATTTTGATAAGCTTTTAAAAATGATTAAAAATTATCTATTCAATTTTTAGTTTTAATATTAAAAAAAAACATATTGGATTTTAGAATATTTGATAGAAATTAATTAGTGTGATATTTGTTTTTCTTTGAATAATCTTCCAATATTCGGAGTGAAATTGTGTAACGACAATTTTTAATAAGGAATGTAAGTGTTCATCAGACATGTGGGAAAATGGTTATTTGTAAATATAACAAATAGAACCAAATGATGTAAATATACGAATTAATAATTCTTTTATTTTCCGTAATGTATACACGGTATAAAAGTTGAAAAGCGTTGAGTACACCTGTTCTACATGATGATAATATTATTGTAACTAACGTTTACGATTTTTTTTCTATTTACGTAACTGTATTCAATAAGTTTTTAATACATTTTATACTAATCCGTCGAATGTGTTCAATTATTTTACAACTCTCTCAATATTATATTTATAGTTAAATGTATAATATATATAGTATATTATATCATATTATAATATACACTACTTCTACGATWAATTGGTATACATAAAATTGTTCATGATTTATAATAACAATATGCGTTTAATAGTTAATTCCGTAACCGTGAATTAAAGTTAATTAAATAGTTTAGAATTTTCCTAAAAGCCACATCAAAAATTAATCATGGGAAAATTAATTACGATCCGTAACTAAAATTACATTATTCTCATTAAAATATGCCAATTATTTATCAATGATAATTTTTTTTTGAAAATTTGTAATCAGTTTATTCTTAATATTTTYACTGTTATCWTTGTATGTCTGTATGTCTTGTGAAATAAATGTTAAATACAAAGTATATCAAGTATTGAAGTATTATAGTTTTATCGAGTCACACATTTGACATTTGCGTACATTAAGTAGTTATTTAGAAATTAATTTTCAGACACTAAACATGAGCTGATTTTTTTTATTAAATGTACATGCATTATGTTAAGTTTTTTTGAAAATGTTGCTTTGATGTTCATTTACGCTATTACTTAGTTTATCAAGTGCTGCTACACATGTCGTGGTCGTGTGCATTAAAACAAAATACTTTTACAGCGTGTTATATACAGTAATATATATATTAATATACATAGAGTACATACGCGAACAAGTGGACTTCAAAAAGCTCATAAAGTATATTATGTTTGCTTATAATACATATTGAATTATATGGGCACTGTTAAATATAATTACAAAACATAATATTCAAAACAAGGGCACATTATAGACTAAAGCTTAAAATGCATATATGCATATAAAATAGTGTCAGTACCTACTGAATACATTTTTCTTCGAATAATAAACCGATGAACTAAAGGGTATGCTAAATAAAACATAAGCCAAACATACCAACTAAAAGGGATACTATATAGGAATCTGGGTATAACTTCCTGAAACAAATGATGTATCTGTTATAATGTTTATATTTATATCCATTGTTTTTAAGAGTATTTGACCTTAAACTACWTTTACCCTATATTTTTATGAATAAATCAAAAATATTAAAATCTGTTATGTATGATTTAAAAAAATGGTACTATAACTATATAATATACAAATATACAAATATTTAATATGAAACCTCGAAATGGAAAAACCACAAATATTTCACTTTAAAATGTTCAGTACTTAATCATTAATGTTTTTTTTTTTTGAATTTAGATGATACAAAAATAAATTAATACGATAATATATAGACATTTTAATTATTATGAACTTTAAATTATTGCAAGCATTTAAATTTAAAATTACCTTATAATAATCAGTAAACTTGATAATATTACAAGTAAATACGTTGGTATTAGTCATATGGTATTAGAGTACAATTATACACGAGGCAAAATAAAAATGCTATCAAACAAATCACCTACCTACTTATATAATTATAAAATCAAGCTATTTTACCTCGTCATGTATAATAATCACATAAAATAAGAAAAAATATATTATATATTAATTCAAATACTCGTATCTTCTYGTAAATATAGAAAAAATAAGTTAAAAATAAAATAATGTTTTGGAAAACAATTAATATCCGAAGAAAATTTCTTGATGTGCTTAAATTATGGCGGAGAGCTGTTGGAGAAAAATATATTCATCTTTAACATTGTCAAGTSAATAACCAACCGGAATATTGTTTTTATTTTTATAACTGTATGTGGTCTTCTATTATAAACCTTTACAGGAAAATTAATAGTGTATTTGTGTATTACGTAAATTACATTTTGATTAAAATAAATATGCACACATCAGCCCGGTGTTGATGAGAATTTGAAACTATTTACTATATAAGTAATGAATTAGATTAAATTCCAGCTGACTTCATTTTGTGTCGTAATTGTAGAATAAATTTCAAAACCATTAATCTGGGATTAGTTATTTGACAAACTGTAAACAGCATTTGAATATATGCGTGTTAAATAAATAAAAATTCAAATTTTTCCTGTGAAATTAAGGCATCACAATATTGTTGCAAGACTAGAAATCATTTATGTAAATATATTTATAATAGTTACTAATAGAATATAGATAAGCTATTATCTAATAGACTGAAGGTAAATCTTATTATGATCGCCAAAATGTAATCTATTTGCATTTAAGTCTATTCAAGCCAGGACCTGTTCAAATATAATTTTAATAAATGAATTTGTAATTGATGAGTTAACTTAATACATTAGAAACTAGAAGATCTTTTAACATAAGATAAATGTACTCTGTCAGTATTTTTCTTCAGTTGATATTAGCTGAACCATTTGTGAACACATTTTCGATTGGTCTGAAATAAAAATCTGTATTGTGTATTATACAATATGATGAACTAATTAGTTCGTTTTCAAAAGTCCATATTTTGTATAAAAACCAGCTACATTATAGGACGAAAAGTCAGCAGTAGGTATAAAAGAATCGGAACTGTTTCGATCATATTTTTTTGTCATGACATTAAGCCAATATGATATATTGACAATGAATAGTTGGAAAGGTTCCATGAAATATTAAAATCCAAATGCAAAAATAAGTGTTGAAACAGGATGAGTGTTTATATGTGACAAAAAAACAATGAAATAAAATAATTGTATCAAAAATTGTCGTTTAGATTTTTTTTTTGCTATGAACAAAATTGTATAACTTTTTTTTGTTCGAACAAAAAAATACTATTTCTCACAGATTTTATTAATAAAATACAATGATAAGAAATCTATAATAAAATTTGTGCCATACAATCGTATTGTTATACCTACACAGAAGTTATTGAATTGAAAATTGTGAACAATGGAAATATTCTTTTGAAGGTATTATATGAAACATTGATATATAAATATACGATTTTCGGTGAATAAATAAATACCTAATAATAAATTTMAAATAAAGTAATTTAAATTTAATATTTTAGAATTTTAGAATATTTTGTTTACTTTACAGATTCAATTCCGTTTAAGTTGATCACCTRTTTTCAACATTCGAAGGTTTTTTTAATATAGTTCATCATGTTAGAAAAAATAACGGTAGGTAATATTGTTTTAATAATATTATAGCATAATGCTGAATTTTAATTCGATTAAAATACTTTTATCACTTTCYTAAAATAATAAAATAATCAGCACRTCGCAGTTTAAAACTTTTTCTTGTAATCCATGRCTGTCATAACTCATCAACATAATATTGACAATTAATTTGAATACAAAACYGCTCAGGGAAATTCAGTTAAACAATATTGTGGTTGTAGGTTCGTATTATACGTTTACATTATAACAAAAATKTATATTATTCACTTAAGTCTACAGATATTTTCTACTGAATAATTTTAKATGATAATGATTTTGAAATTTATTCTACAATTACGATGTGAAATTAAGTCAAATGGAACTAAATCGAATTCAGTACTTATACATTTTCGTTTTAAAATAGATTTATTTTTTGCTACGT